AGAAGTGAAGGGAAAGAGAGGACATGAAATGAGCTCTGCATGCTGACTGGAAACCCATGGCACCTCTGCAAGCAGATTAACTGCAATAGCCGTGGGTCCAGGTTTTGCAGAGTGTGAAAAAGGCAAAGAAAAAGTCTGTGACATTCCACTTTAGCCATATCTTGCAGATCTGTTATTTCTGAAACACCATTTAGGAAGGGATGGCTGGTTTCCAACGTAACTACTGTTTTGTTTTGTTTTTTCACAAATACATTCTCATTGGGCTGTAGCTTTATTGAGAAAACATTTCTCAGTGCAAAATGTAAGTTAGCTGCAGTAGTGTAGATGGCAAGCCTGTTTTTGAGACAGCTATCCTGGTTTATATCTACTCTGTAAAGAATAATGTCAGTTTTCTGCTTCCTCTTATGGTCCTGATTACACTCTTGCTTTACCACTTTCTGGCATGAAATATTATACTATCAGCTAGGATGGCTGAGTCAGCTAAAGAGTCTGCTGGAATGCAGGATTGTTTTTCCTCTTCACCAGACCACTCTTATGCTGAGTCGTATTGGTCAGGTTCACCTGTATTCCTGATATATGTGCTGTGTTGTCTTTAACTGGAGAGGAATATACAGACCAAGTCAACAATAAGAATTTCTTAAAACAATCGCATGCCATGGTAATGTAAAAAACTAGAAATGACCTTTGATATAATAAAAAAAAAGTATGGCTGGAGAATTTATTCTGTATTAAAATATGCATTACTAATCCTATTTGCTAGTGAAATAATAATTATTCATCTAATTGTGTTGGGCCATCTAGGTCAAAACCCCTGCAAGTCCAATTATATCCTGCGTTTTAATATATTTCAAAGGTTCAAGGCTCCTTAGAAATGATCCAGTCTAACGTTTTGCTTTACAAATGAGTGAACTGGGACTCTGAAAGTTTAAGACTTACCCAGTTTTACTTGGCTGATAAATGCCAAAGTAGAGGCTATAGCTTAAGTCATAAAAATAGGATGCACAGGCCATTTGTAAAAAAGAAAAAAAGAAACAAAAAAAGAAAGAAGGGTAAAAATTCAGGAACCAAATGAGAAATAAAATTATTTTTTAAAAATAATACCTTACCTTATGTACTGTATGCTGTGTATCCTTCCTACATCAACTTATAAACCTCTTTTTATAATGCTAAATTTAGCATTAAGCTTTTTGTATTTACAACAAATATCCGCATATTTGATGTCACCTGAAAAGGTGAAGGAAGACATTCATGATAGCAACAAGCAGGATACCACATAGCTGCTTGCAAATTGATTTGACCAACATTATAGTATGTGGTAAAATGACCTGTTTGAGTATCCTATATAAATTATCTTGGCCTAGTGTGATCGATAAAAGAGAACATTGATCTTGGAGCTGGAATATTTGCAATCACGCTCTGGCTCAGTAATTCACTAGCTATGTGATCTTTGAAGAGTCACTCAACTTCTTTACAATTAGCATCCTTGAGAGTAGAGTGGAAATAATAGTAATTATCTTGCAAATGAATGTCGCTGTGAGGACCAAATGAGATAATGCATATTAAACTACTGCACTAAGTTCAAACCTCTTCACAAATATGATCCTAATTTTAATTCACTCCTTCCTCAATTTTCTTCGTGTCAGTAAAGGGCAACTCAATCCTTCTACTGCCTAGTACCAAAACTTTGGCGTCATCTTTCACACCTCATTTTCTCTCACACCCCACATCCATCCATCTGCACATCCTCTCAGTCCTACTTCCAGCATATATCCAGAATCTGGTTGCCCCTTACCGCACAAGCAGAAGCACTGCCATCTGGTAGTCATTGTCTCTTGCCTGGACCAATCCAGCGGTCTTTCCATGGGTCTCCTGGCCCCTGGCCCCTCACAGACTTTTTCACAAAGCAGAGAGAGCCATCA